CACTACATAATGATAAAGGAATCAATTTAGCAAGAGGATATAACAATTATAAATAGCTATGCAGCCAACATCAGAGCAGAAAGTATAAAGCAAACATTAATAGACTTAAAAAGAGAGATAGACTGCAATACAATAATAGTAGGGGACTTTAACAGCCCACTCTCAGTAATGGACATATTATCCAGACAGAAAATCAACAATGAACCAGCAGAGTTAAAGTGCACACCAAATCTAATAGGCCTCTCTGACATTTATAGAACATTTCACCCAACTGCTGCAGAATACACGTTATTTTCATTAAAACATGAGACATTCTCCAAAATAGATTTACATCTTAGGTCATAAAACAAGTCTGAACACATTGGAAAAAAAACCCAGAAGTCATATCAGTAATCTTTTCTGAACATAATGAAATCAAACTAGAAATCAGTAACAAAAGGCACCTCAGAGAATACATAAATACATGGAAATTAAACAAAATGCCCCCAAATTACCAATGGATCAATAAAGAAATTAAGAAGAAAATCAAAACTTTCTTAAAACACATGAAAATGGAAATACAAAATACCAAAATCTGTGAGATCCAGCAAAAGCAGTCCTAAGAGGGAAGTTTACAGTGATAAATGGCTGTATCATAAAAGCAGAAAGAGGCTGAGTGTGTGGCTCACGCCTGTAAATTCCAGTGCTTTGGGAGGCCAAGGCAGGTGGATTCCCCGAGCCCAAAAATTTGAGACCAGCCTGGGCAATAAGGCGAAATCCCATATCTACAAAAAATACAAAAAATTAGCTACTCAGGAGGCTGAGATGGGAGAATCATCTAAGCCTGGGAAGTTGAGGCTACAGTGAGTTGTGATCATGCCACTGCACTCCAGTCTGGGCAAAACAAAAACAAAAACAAGGCAGAAATACTTCCATAAACATTATAACAATGAATCTTCAGAAACTAGAAAAGCAAGAACAAACCACATTCAAAATCAGTAAAAGAAATAATGAAGATCACAGCAGAAATAAATGAAATAGATATTAAAAAATACAGAAGATCAAAAAAATAAAAAGATGGGCTTTTTAAAAGACAAACAAAATCAACAAACTTTACCTAAACTAAGAAAAAATGAGAGAAGATACAAATAAATAAAATCAGAAACTAAAAAGGAGACATAATAATTGAAGCCTCAGAAACAGAAAGAAGGCTGGGCGCGGTGGCTCACACCTGTAATCTCAGCACTTTGGGAGGTCGAGGTGGGTGGATCACCTGAGGTCAGGAGTTCGAGGCAAGCCTGGTCAACATGTTGAAACCCCATCCCTATTAAAAACAAAAACAAAAAATAGCTGGGCATGGTGGCAGGCACCTGAAGTCCCAGGTATTTGGGAGGCTGAGGCAGGAGAATCACTTGAACCCAGGAGGCAGAGGCTGCAGTGAGCTGAGATCAAGCCACTGCACTCCAGCCTGGGTGGAGAATAAAACTCCATCTCAAAAAAAAAAAAAAAAAAAAAAGGAGAAAGAAATAGAATCATTAGAAACAATTATGAACAACTACATGCCAACAAATTGGAAAACCTAGAAGATGGATAAACTACTCAACACATACAAACTACGTGTTTCTTGCTTCTCAGCACACAGGCGTATGCACATCTCAAATCAGTTAATCAGCATGCACTCATTCCCAATGACAGCCAACAAAGACATTCTAAACATGGTTTGGCTTTGCTCATACAGACCTTGCAATATCTACATTCATCTTTGGCTCATATGTGACCCATCTGTTGATGAAAAATTAATGAAACACAGTGTGTCACATATGCCCATACATTCATTGTAGGATTCAGGCTAGAAGTCATGCTTTTGGGGATGTGTCAGGGGAATATGTGGAACAAATTCTGTTGATTCTTCCCCACTTAATAAAGGATTCCATGCCTTGGCTCCCTGGAAAAACATCTGACCAGAAATAGGAAAACGTCTTGATAAGTAAACCAACATGATAAAGGAAGATCATTAGCATAATTAAGCTACAGATGTTGGAAAGGAGTGATAGAGAGGCTTTACATACGGGTGTGAGACTACATCAGAGAAATGAGGGATACTTTGATTACCGTGAGGGGCATCAAACCCCAAATCCAGCATATTTGACAGACTGCTAGTTGTTTTCCAAAAGGTAACAGCATTGGCAGGGGAATTTCTTGGATTCCAAAAATGGACTCCTTTAGAACTACTAGGTAAAGAATAACCATGTTTTAAGGTATTTTTTTTAAACCACTTCACGAAATGGCAGTTTGTATTACCACCCCTTCCCGCCCCACTTGGAGAAGCAATGCAATGTAATGTCAAGGGTTTAGACTGAGGATTATAGAATCTGCTGTCTACTCTCGGCTCTGCCAAGAGGGCTACATGACATGGGACAGGTCATTTGTCTCCTCTGAGCCTCACAAGTGGTTAGAGCACTTCGTATTTCCCTGGTTCTTTCTGGGTCTGTGTTGTTTTCATTCTTTCCTTCTGAATGTTCCCTTAGCTTGTCTTTAACAGCAATCATTCACTCCACCTCCCAGTTGAGGCCAATTCTGCTGTTTGACCTGCAGTTGGAGCCAATGCTGCTTATCCCAGTCAACATTATTGATCAACATTACTGAACAAATAAATGATCACATACATGAACAAATTTTTGACGCTTTCCTTTCAGCATGCTAGACCTCTCAGTAGGCTGTTATTATATCTCAACAAATAGGGGTGTTAAAATTAACTCAAATTGTGCTCAATTAATCAGAACTTATTCAAGACTTTCTATGTGTCAGGCATCAAAATAGGCAAGTGCTTGTAGTGATCTGAGATATATGATAAAGTCCCTGCCCATAAGAAACTTTACCTTGTCTGTGACTTCACACCAACATTTAGTGAGTGCATCAACTGGGGTCCAATCAGGAGACAGGAACCAAACAGTGATTTAAATAAGGGAAGTTTAATATAAAGAATGATTAAGCTGGCTATGCACGGTGGCTCACACCTGTAATTCCAGCACTTTGGGAAGCCAAGGTGGACAGATCACCTGAGGTCAGGAGTTCAAGACCAGCCTAGCCAACATGGTGAAACCCATCTCTACTAAAAATACAAAAGTTAGCTGGGCACAGTGGTGCATACCTGTAATCCCAGTTACTTGGGAGGCTGAGGCAGGGGAATCACTTGAACCTGGGAGGCAGAGGCTTCAGTGAGCCAAGACCATGCCACTGCACTCCAGCCTGGGCAACAGAGTGAGACCCTATCTCAAAAATAAATAAATAAATAAATAAAGATTAAGCTATAATAGAACAGTAATTATAAGATGTAAGAGAACTTTATAATGTTCTATAGGGGGCTGAGGGAGAGTGCTCAAAGAAGGATGAAATTGGAAGGGCTCTCCTCAAGGCTCAGATTCATATCTTGTTACAGAAGGTCTACTTGCAGTTCAATGGATGGAAGAGAGGTTTGCTGGCTTGTTCATGCCACAGCTGGTTCACAGTCACTGAGCAAGAAGAAAGCTACTCTCTAGGAAGTACATGAGCCACAGCCAGTGATTGGGTATGCACAGATAGATACACTGGGAATCACTGTTGGGTAGAAGGCTTGGCATTCCTGGTGTCCATGTCAGGAGGGCAAATCTGAGGGGCTGGGTACAAGTGGGTCACAATTGATGAGCAGGTGAGTGGGCATGCAGAGAGGCTGGAGGTACTGCTCTGGGCAAGAGGGCTAGAATTTCCAGTGTCTGTGTTGGGAGGGCTACAGGAAGGTGATGACTAGGCTAGGCCAGGGCTGCAAGCTTACAAAGGGACTATGTGCTGTGGCTGGGGCACAGTACCACCAGATGCACTCACACTCATACCAGTGACCAACAGTGCAGCTGCTGGAGCCTACAAGAGAAGTCCCGTCCTTCTGCATTGTCCCTCCAGCACCGTCTACTTAGAAAACTTAATATGGTGCTCACATAAAGGAGGAGAGCTTAAAGGGATTCCAACCATTAACAGCAGAGCAAGTACTCAAGGGAAAATCTGGAGGGGCAAAAACTGATAATTGGCACAGTGAAGTATCAAAAGAGCCTTAAACTAGGGCTTAGATATTCTGAGTTCTAGTCTGAGTTCAGCTGCGTAATCTTAGGCAAGTGACTTAGGTGTCTTAGTTTTAGTTTGTTCACTTATGAAATGGAAATAACACTTGTTCAATTAACTAAAGAATAAAGCAAGGATCAAACAAGAACAAGCATATGAAAGGACTTTAGAAACTGTAAAGTGCTACACATTTCCAATGGGTCATTGCTGTGGTAGTTGTATTCAGTATTACACTTACCATCAAGTTGAGTAATGTTTAGTCTAGAATTAAGGCCAAAGAGATGAGCCCCTTATTTTGAATCCCTAGCACCTAGTACACTTACTTAAACAAAATAAAGAGGTTTGTCTTTGTTACCAGAACTACAGTTTAAAAAACGTTATTTCTTGATGGATAGTCTCATGAAGGTATTGCTGTGTCCACTCAATCATGATCAACCACAGTCTCTCAAGGGTGGCACACACTAATCTTTCCCCATTTTTCATCTTACCAGAATGCTGCTGGTGGAGTCAGTAGGAAGAGCCTTTTTGCCCCCTGATCAACCTCTACCTGAGGACCTAAGGCAATGCTTTTATTGTAGCTCCTGATATGCAAGCAGAACTAGAGCACTCCAGAAGTAACCTCATTTGACTGGCCTATTAGTTAGTGGGTAAATACATGTATAAATGAATGAATGACTAAGCAAATAGAGTTAGCCGGCCAAGGCCGTGCTCAGCATCCTATTAGAATACAATAATTATAAGGCTATCAAAAACCATTGTTCTTTAAATATAATGCCTTTTCACACACACACATGCATGCACACACACACACAACACTACCTCTGTACAGTTTCCTCCATTCCTTCCTCCTTCTTTTCAAATAAACAAAGAAATCCTGAGTATGTATACAAAATAGCTGTTATTTTATGTATTTGCAGCATGAAACTCACAGTAGAAAATACCAGGGTTCTGTCTTGGCATCTTGGGCACTGCTCTCTGAGATCTGGAGTCTCTCTCTGTGTGAAGGGTAAGTTCCTGATGGTCTCTGCCTGTCCTGGGACCACTGTTGATTCATGCAGGGAGACAGCCGAGTACAAGCTGTGACTGAAGAGGGCAAAATATGAGGACATGCTAATTGGTTTGGGAAAGGAACCTCCTGCCATCTGGCTCTCTGCCCCCACAACAGTGGTCAGGAAGGAGAAGCAGAAAGAGGCAAACAAGCTGAATGGTTCTGAAACATATCGTGGGACATTTCAGACCCCCCTGCAGGGAACTGAAATGTTGCATGTTCTTTAAAGCTAAATATCACTAATTTAATTTAAATACATTTTTTTGTACTGCCTGTAACACATTTTGTGGATGAAGTTCAGAAGAAAAAAAAAAAAAGACGCATATAGATTCAGGTATGGTAGTAGTTAATTGTCCAAGGCAGACACAACTTGGCATTGCAGAATCAGTTTCTTCTGTTTTTGATACACACTGGGATAGGTTAAATACTTCAGGGTGAAAATAACATGGAAAAAGCCTTTCATTCATTCATTCCCCTGCCTCAAGCACATCTCATGGGTTTCAAATGATGTAAATCATTCCAACTTGTAGATGATCAAATACGTTTAAAAAAGGAAGCACAAAGGTAGCCCTGAAGCCGCTTGGACATCTGTTACTGGAGCACACAAGAGTAACTTGATCCATCAGTTAACATCTCATCCTCTCTTTTTCTTGGTTTCCTACTTAGCTATGTTGCACTGTAAATGCTTAGTCTGGAAAGAGAGGAGCAATGTTTTGTATTGTTCTTTTCCTTCTACAAATGCAGCAAACAGCCAAAAGACAGAATCCAGCCAGGCTACTAAGGGCATATTCCATACCTCCTCACTTTCCTAGGGAGCTAGACGGGGATGTTGAAGTTCAAGTTCTCACTCAGATGCATATAGAGGAAAGTGAGTGTAAGGTCAATTTCCACCATGCCAGGAACTGGAAGCAGACTCTCAATGGTCCACTGTGGCAGGAAGGTAGCCAATGAGCCTTTGAAACTGACCCAGCAATGTCTTCCCTCTGCTTTCAGGGAGGTGAAATTTTTGCTCATTTAGAATGGAGGGTTAGAAGTGTCAAGCAGGTTTTCTTTGGGAGTCAAAGTCACTGATTTCAAAACCTTCTTCTCTTACTGGAGGGTCACTTGAGAGTTGAAAGGTACGAATGATACCTTTGATATTTTTGCCTATAGCTCTCTGCACGTTTATCACTGAAAAAAAAAAAGACAGATCTGCTAAGAAGACCTATAAAGGACAGAGGCTGAAATTGTGATTGTATTAATGGAACCTGACTAGAAAATTTTCAAATGCCCAAATCTTAACCTGCCATTCACTCCTGATGCTGACATTTCCAAAAGAGCTACACGTAGAAAGACTGATAGCAACTGGGAACCAAAATGACAATTATCTTTCAGAGCTTGGTAAGGTTGTGTAAGAGCATATGTTCATTTTTAAGGCCTAAGAAAGACACTCCCTCCCTACCTGCCCCTCTTCCCCACACACCTCAGCTTCTCCTCAAAATCTGGACTATCTCTATTCCAACCTATGGAGTGGAAGCAAGAGATGCAAGAGGAGCACCATCCAAGGGCATGGTCTTTTTACAGTCGATCTGGTCATCAATAAACACGGCCAACCAATACTTTAAGTGACCAAACAGAATGGCAAGTCATTCTTCCCTAAAGGATGTGGGAGAACCAGAGAGGGCCAATAGGGAAGTAGGCAGAGAGGCAGAAGCATTTCTTCCTCTATAACATATTCACCTTCTTGCCATAAAAATGTTCTATTTGAAATCCTATACAGAGAAGTTTATGAAATTGATTTGGCTTCCTTTAGTAAACTCTAAAGTTAAAACCCTTACAAAAATGATGAAATAAGGTTTAAATATTTAATTATAGGAGAATTTTTAACATTTCAAAAAACACAATCTTATGGAAAGAAAATTTGACCTGTTGTGGCTCTATTTGTTCAAGTAGACTCTTGTAACCCTGGATCTCCTTACATAGACTCTAGAGCTAAATATAAACATGAATTAAAAGAATTGTCAAAGATTATCTTGGTTACAGGTTTAACTGAAAGAGTAAACTAAAGAAAAGGTATCAAAGAGTAGAAATGCATTTACAGGAATGGCATTAACTTAAGGAAAATGATCCTGGAAAATTAGAGACGGGATGGGAACCAGTACAGACCCACAGCACTGTAAAATCAGGGCATTTGGGTAAATGCTTATTGAGGGCCTAAAGAAATAATCTCACAGGTAGTGGCCACACTCTACTGGTCCATCAGTTTAGGGCACCTATCAACACGTATGAGCCTGCCAAGCAGAACTTTACAAGATCACTGACCCAACCATATAAAGGAGGTTAACGCAAAGATGGCCACCCCCAGAGTCCTCCAAGCCTGCTGTGTGAGAAATGCCTGTGCTGGATAATTTGCAAGTCCAGAAAGCCGATGCATCCAAACTCAGTTTCTTTTTTACTACTCTAGTTACTTTGTCTGGATGACATAAGGAAAGAACACACTTTGTAGTAAGAACTGAAACTCTGACAAAGAGGGCCTTGAGTTTCAAGGATTCACAGGGCATTCTGCCATAAGGTAGAAAAGTTAGATGGTATAAATCATTACTCTATCATAAGAAACTGATCCCTCACATTGGGCCCTACATCTAAGGGCACAGTCTTAGTTGCATAGGGAAATTTTAAACTAAAATTAAACTATTACTGACCAGCTTTCTGTGTGGCTCTGTTTATCTTGCCTGCATTCTGTACTATCTATGTCAACTTCTGATTTTTGTCCAGCTGGTACATTTGTCATAAGCTGGAACAATCTGTGCCATGTAAAGGGAGACTTAAAAAAACTTTGTCACAATTGTCCCACATCAGTGAGGAAAGCCTGTTTGTAGGCAGTGTGTATAGGAGTGTGTGTGTGTCTTTAATCAAGATACTCTTTTCAGCAGGAAATTAAAATCTTCTGGGTAATGAGCTCAGAAAATCTATACACACTGTACCTATATTTCAATATAAGAATGTTGTTGATGTCTCTCTGGAGCACTTCATTTTGACCCTGTCACATAAATCAACTCTGCAATTGCTAGGAATGTAACTGTTTTCAGTCTTTGCAGCATCAGTACCCAGAAGCATGTGTAGGTCAACTTCATGAATACCATAAATCTTTTCACAGCAATGGGAGAACTTGCTCTAGCCTTTTGGAGGGCAGAAATCTGGGTCTCTGGTTGGTTATAAGGCTTTTATTCTCACTTTTATCTCCTGGATGATGAATAAAAGGTTCAGTGACCTCAGGAGATACTCCCTAGAAGGGATGTGGCTATTCTCTAATGGAATTACCAAATACCAGCATATCTGGCTAAACCAGTTTGAAATCTACTTTTGCACAACTTTAAGAATTATTTTAAGAATTTAGATGCTACTGTGCAAATAAATGGACAGAGCCAAAGGTAGAGAAAAACTATTTACGTACTCTATTAATTGATTCAGTATTTCTAAAGCACCTCAATGTTGATAGAACTAGTTGCATCAGCATGGAAGAGAGTGAGAAGCTGAACTGCAAAGTGGAGCACATGTTCTAGAATACACAAGTCACCTTTTCTCTAATCAGCTGGAAATTACTGTGCTCCTCTGCCAAACCATAACCACATTCTTGGGATGGAGAGGAATGCTGGCGCTTCTAAGGCTGACGTGTTAAAGCAGCCTTTTCCAGGGGACAGCAGCTTTTTCCTTTGTCCCCTTATGTAGTCTGGTTGAAACTGCAGAAGAATTTGAAATGTGCACTAGAAGCAGTGCACAAAGGAAACTTAGAAATCTCAGAAGGAAGGAGAGATGAGGAAAGGCCTTGAGAAATCACTGCACTCCTTGCCTTACAGCAAGTCTATATTTATTATAGATAAAAAAAAACTTTATTATTGACTTTTCCTTTAAAGTTTTGGGTAGAATGTACAGTGTTTTTAATTTTTATTTGCCAATTAAAACATACAAACACAAGTCAGAAAAAAATAAATGCAGCTATTAAATTTACTATTAACTGCTTTCCTTTACCTAGATTTTTTGAAGGAAAAAAATCTTTAAAACTCATTAAAAAATCAGATTCTCATTAAAAGATGCTAAAAATGACTGAACTCTGGTTTCACTAAAGGAACATTATTATATATTCATTATTTTTTCTGCCTTGGAGATTAAAACAGTCTCTCTAAGCCTGAGCACCTTCTTCCTTACAGATTTATAGACTGGACTTGCTTCACCTTTCTTGTCTTTGCAAACTATTTCTTCTGAAAGAAAAATCAGTAATTTTCCATTTCAAATAAAACAGAGTAGGCTATGACAACTGCCATCACTTAGATTTGGACTGTAGGTCTCCATAACAGCTAGTACAACCTTATACTTCAGAGAAAAGCAAAAGAGCTTCAAAAAGACTTCAAGAGTGTGCATGTGGGGAGATGGAAGCAATGGTTAAAAATCCTTAAAATTCTCCAAAATTAAAAATGCCATTAAGCTTTACTATAAAATACCTCAAATTAAAGTGTTCCTAATTTTAGCATTAAATGAGGCTGGTCTATTGAGTAGGACTATTGCATAATGATGGCAAAAAAAAAAAATCAAAGTTTTAGGGAAGCAAAATTGATCTGAAATTTAAATTCTAGTTCCTGAGTAGCTTCTGACTAATGCATCTGAATAAATCAGAACCATCCCAGTCCTCTTACTCAACAGTAGAAAAAGAATTATGGAAAGACTTTGGGGGAAATTTACAATATACTCTTATGGTTTCTCAAAACTTTTGTCTCAAAATAACCACACTGAGGGAGGGAGGTGAATATAGGTTCCTAGTAGCACTGAGAATTTAGCCTGAAGTTGCAGGCTGCAAGCACAAAGGTTTTGTTTTGTTTTTAAAAGTTTCCCATTTCTTCTTGAACATTTATATGTATTTTGCCATAAAATGTTAGTCTCCATTTTAAAATATGTTTTACATTACTGCAATTACAATAAAATTATGTTGCCACCATATTAGTTAGGCTACAGGCAAAACTGCTGTGTATAGCCTAAACTGATTCCAAATTTAATTACTCAAACAAGATATTTTATTTCCGTCAAGGGCATGGAGACAGTTGTGTTCTATTTATAAGGATATTCAGGGACCCAGGTTCCTTCTATCTTGTTGCTCCCTACCTCTTAAAGCATTAGCATTCTTGTCTGCTCAAAGTTGACTCAGCTCCAAATTTGGGTTTCAGTCACAGAAAGGGGAAGACAACTGGAGATGAATGATCACTTCCATTCACAATTCATTAGCGACACTTAGTTCCATGGCTGCAGTAGCTGCAAAAGAGGATGGAAAATGTAATTTTTTCTACCTCTGACAAAAAGTAGAAGTGATGCTATTGAAATATATACAATGTCCATCTTATGACTTTTTGTGTTCCCTACCAACTACTTTATTCCTCTGGGGATGCTCCAGTTTAGAAAGCACAGTACAAAGCAGTGTGCTGCATCCTTTCTTTCTATAAAGGGCCAGGTTTTAGGCTTTGTGGGCCATATGATCTCTGCTGTAACTACTCAACTCTGTTGTTGTTCAAAAGTAGCTACAGACTACATGTAAACAAATGAACATGGCTGTTGTTTCAGTTATCTATTGCAGCATAACAAATTACTACAAAGTTAGAGGTTTAAAACAACAATGTTTTCATCTCACAATTACCACGGGCAGAGTTCAAGCATAGTTTATTTGGGTCCTTTGTTTAGAATCTCACAAGGCTGCAAGAAGAGTCAGTTGGACTGTGTTCTCATCTAGAAGCTTAACAGGGAAAAAACCAAAAACAAAACAACAACAACAAAAACTATTTCCAGGCTAATTCAAGGTTGTTTGCAGAATTTACTTCCTTGAGGTTATAAGGCTAAGGGCCTCAATTTCTTGGTGGCTGTTGTTCTCCCTCAGCCCCTAGAGGTCACCCTCAGTTTCTTGCCATGTAGCCCTATCCACAGTCTCTCTTATAACATGGTATTATTTCTTCAATGCAAAGAAGAGAGAAAGTCTCAAGAGTGAGTTTGGTAGCAAGACAGCTGTGTTCCAATAAAACTTTATTTACAAAGACAAGCAGTAGGTCATGTCCATCATTTGCTGAGCCTTGGTAAAATGAATGAAGTGTAGAAGACATTATTTAAGGTAAGAAGAAATCAAAGTTCATTGAGTAGAGAAAAAGTTAGATTTCTCAGAGCCAGAAGGGCCATGTGGAAAGGTACTCAGAAAAAAAATATTTTTTTCATTCTGGTCCCATAATACATGTATTACCTCATTTTTAAAATAAAAAATAAAAGCAGAATTGGCATTGTATTAGAATCTATGATTATAAAATGGAGTTGTTATTAGAATGCCAAATAAATTTAAAGTGAAGGGGCTTCATAGCAAGCTTTCTACAATTTTGACTCTAATTCAAACTTCACCTGGAAAAATTTCAACAGAAAGTCTGCTTATTTTCTTAGTGATTATAAAAATGTCAGCTAATGCTTATTATATGATTGAGATTCAAGGATTATGCTAAATGTTTAACATGAATTTCACTTAATCTTCAAAATATCTTTAAAATAATAACTCATGTAATGTAATGAGTTACAATAATAATAGGAATAGTAATCTAAATAACATGAGTTATTTATTTTGAAGATTATTATATATTATTATATAAGCCCTTACACTTAAATACTGAGTTATTGGCTCTCATATTTGCTGATTTTTTAAGAGATTTCCTTTTCAATCCTTCTATAGTTATCAACATGACATATCTCAGTATGTCCCATCACTCTTCCTAAACCAACATTGATCTCAGGTTATAAAGAATGTCGAGGGTGAAATGTATAGAAGGAAGAAGGGGCTGCTGAAGGTGGCTTGAAGCAAGTGAGTTCTCATTCATTGCTTGTGGGAGTACAAATTAATATAATCCTTTGGAGAAACAATTTAGCAATATATATCAAAGGCCTTGAAATAAACGTAAATGTATTTTTGAAAATACACAAGAGGTGTGTATATTTGTATTATAAGATGTCTGTTTTTTTGTTTGTTGAGATGGGGTTTTGCTCTGTTGCCCATGCTAAAGGGCAGTGGCATGATCATGGCTCACTACAGCCTCAACTGCCTGGGCTCAAGCAGTTCTCCCACTTCAGCCTCCCAAGTAGTTGGGACCACGTGTGTGTGCCACACCTGGCTAATTTATTACTATTATTTTTTGTAGAGACAGGACTCGCTATGTTGCCCATGCTGGTCTCAATCTCCTGGGCTCAAGCAATCTGCCCACTTCAGCCTCCCAAAGTGCTAGGATTACAGAGGTGGGCCACAGCACCCACCAAATGTTTGCAGTATTAGGTAGGTACTTCCAGGAAGTGAGATGGCAAAATGGAGTAACTTTGTTTTAATGAGCAACTATACATATATGTATGAGAAAAGGTATCATTCTGTCACCTAGGCTGAAGTACAGTGGCGTGATAGAATGACTCTGCAGCCTCAACCTTCCACGCTCAGGTGATCCTCCCGCCTCAGCCTCCTGAGTAGCTGAGACTACAGGCATGCACAACCAAGCCTGGATAATTTTTGTATTTTTTAATAGAAATAAGGCTTTGCCATGTCGCCTAGACTGTTCTTAAACTCCTGGGTTCAGGCGATCCTCCTGCCTCAGCCTCCCAAAGTGTTGGGATTACAGGCATGAACCACCAAACCTGGCCTCATTTTTTATAATGAAAATTCTATTAAAGATAAAAATAGAAAATAAATCTTCATACTTTTGACACAGCAACTCTACTTCTAGGAATCTATACTAAATATCACGAGAGATGTGGTCTAGGGTTTATGTATATTTATCAGTGAGTTCCTTATGTTAAAAAATTAGAATAACCTAAATGTGCCAAAATTTGGATAATGTAATTATTTCAAGACATATAAAGTATATAAAGTATAGATCATTAAATGATGAAATATTTAATATACATTAAAATTATGTTTGTGCAATAAGGATATGAAAAATGCTCATGCTGTAAGGGTACATAAAGCAAAGTATGAAACAGAATTTATGGCATTACTTCAATTTGTTAGGAAAGAAGAAAAAATGAACAAGAAAGATAAATGGATACGAAAAAACTGCAATAAATCTATCAAATTATCATTAATGGCCATTTTTGGATGATAGGATTCGATAAGTTTAAATTAGTTATTTATGATTTTTTGGTATTTCCTAAATAAAAATAATCGTAATAATTTATAATTAGGGAAGAATTACAAATATAATTTGTAATAGATACAAAAATTAGTTCCTCTTTCTAACAAGCAATTCTATGTCTATTCAATCCTCATGTCACACACTCGTGGAAGACATGCAGTAAATTTACTTGCCAAGATTGCAGTTCCAGGCCCCATTAATCTCCTCATTCATCTTACTTTTATAAAAAAGTAACATGCACTTAATACTCTTTAGAAATGCCACATGTTCTTTGACTTGTGCATCATAACAACAGTAATGTTTTAAGAAAGAAAGAAAGTTATCTTCAACTAAATATTTCAGAAATAATTATCTTCTTAGTTGGCATTAGACCTTCTACTTGCCCTTTATTTAGTGTCTCTGAGTCAGACTTTGTTGAACCAGACTAATGGAAAGAATACTATTTCCCATATTTTTGCATAGGTTTAAAGGTATTTCTTTTAGGGAGCATGTAACGAACTACTTTCAGAAAACTTCATTTCTAACTATCATATTTAACTTGGATACCTACATCGAGAATTCAGTTTGGTCACTAAACCAATGAAAACTTCTGTTTATCTATATGGCTACTGTCAGGAAGGCCTATCAAATTTAACTTGGGATGATGTATATTTATATGTACATGAGAAAAAGTCTGAAAGAATGTTTACCAAAATGTGTATAGTACCTCTAGGACTTCAGGTGTTTACCTCTGAGAACTGGCAAAACAGAACATAAAAAAGTAGGAGAGATCCTACAAGCCACATTACGTTAAAAACATGCCTTCCAGATATTCTACCAATGAAAGTTTGAGTTTAAAAACTTTTAAAATCAATCAACTATGGAAAACTGTAATAGTTGTATTGTGAAATAATCCAAACTCTCAATTCTTCTAAGCAACAGCTTACAAATAGATACACAAACAAATGTGGGTATAAATTCCATACACTGAATATTTGAGAGATATTTAACAGTTGTATTTCCCAGATATTTCAAATAAGAAATGTGCTTCAATTTCAATGACTTTGGTTATTTAAATATAGGACATTTCTGAAATCAAATTTCTTCATGTGAAGAAAGTCATGTTTGATTCTCTCTCTTTTTGGGAACAATACAGATATTTCATTCATAAAAAATGCAAGTTTTTTTAAACAAATGTATGTAAATGTACTCATTTACAAACATTCATGGCATAAAATATACTATAAATGTATAAAATAAGTACACTTCAACCAATCCTAAGACACTAAAATTTTATTAACAGAAATCAACATATTTATAGAAAGAGAATATAAAAGGTATCTGATTTGAATAATGGTGCCCATTTAGCACTCATTACGATTATTTTATTCAAGACCTGATTCTGTCTCCCAAACTATAAAGTGAATCATTATTAATTTGCAGCATAAAGAAAAACACACAAAAACCTGGACTATTATTAAATCATTAAACTCAGAGAGAAACTGAAGTTGACAGAGAAGCTCAGACTGGAATTAACTGATACCATACTACTCACTATTTTACATTTCTTTCCTCTATTATTTCTGAAGCAAAATATACTCATCATATTCAAATAAAAATGCCATAGTGTATTTGATTGTATGTGGCTACTTTCTTAATTTTATTTATGTAATTACCAAAGCTCTGTATTCTACTAAGGTACACATCTTATCTTGTATCCATGGACCCTCCTCGATACATTATGGTATCATCAAGCAAGTTTTAAAAACTAAGCAGGACAGGCAAGAAAGCAACACTATGACAGTAAAAACAATATGGTATTCACTTTTGTTTCCTTTAAAGCGAAAGTGTTCTTAATAATTACTGTTGGCTGACAGAACTAAAGAAAGTATATTAGAACCTCAGTACTCTTAACAATGATCTCTCTTGGTTGTTATTTGTCTAAGAAGTGATAAGCCAAATAATTTACAGAAAGCAAGCCACTGAATCCTTCAGAAAACACAACCTGGCAATGTATCTTCAATGCAAAATAATGAGGTGGCAGGAGCGTGATGAAAAAAACAGTCTTCGAAAACATCATGTAAGGGAGTCCAGTTGTGCTTGTATAGTCTCTAGCTATTTACAAAGAGAAAAAAAAAAAAAAAGACATTAGTGAAGGGAACGAAACTCATATCAATTGTTATTTAGACACATGCAAATAGAAAGGAAAAAATGGCATTGGTAACTATGAATATTAAATCCATTCACATAGCAATAAAATTACCAGTTAGAATATTTTTATTTTTATGTGAAGATATTAGAATTTGTGCTTGAAAATTTAAGTTTTCAAATTTTCAAAGAAAGAAGATTTCTTAATACTGTTAAGTGTCTTCAGCTGTTTCATTTTAAATTATCACTACATAATTTTGTTTTTAATGAGACATGGGGTTTTATTGGAGACTTATGTATGAGGGAGTGAGTACAGTGGTGGTGGGCTGAACAGGATAACCACATGCATGGTCCAGTGGCAGTAGGCTGGGCAGAAGAACTGCCTACTTTATAAGATTTTTAAAGTTGGGGGTGGAGGGAGTATATTTTCCTGGATTACAAAATCAGTCTTCAGAAAGAAACATGAAATATGCTCACAGATAAATCTCTAAAGGCGTGTTTCCCTTTACCTTTGGGCCCAGAAATTAAAGTATTTGACATATATATTTAAAGTGTCAGTGTGGCTAGGAATCACAAAGTTCATTACGTAATGTCTTATATTAAAGCAACAATCCTATTGCTTTAATTAAAACTATTTTCCTTTTCTTCCTGATTTAGTTTTTCAGATTCTCTTCATTTCTCCTCTACTTCCCCCTGTGAAATATAAGGTGTTTATAAGGGAAGTTTAAAGAACTTAGTTCCATAATAGGACATTTAAAAATAATAATTCATAAAATGAAAACAAAATATTATGAAAAAAACCCCACATATTAGAAAATTATTTTAAAAATATAGACCTTGTTATAGAAATCAAACAACTCCTCGTGACTGAATTCCACAAGAACTTTCTCCAGGCTCTGTAAGGAAGAAAAACAACAAAAAGAATGTAGCTGCACACAATTTACATCACATTTTTTTCTCTCCAGATAATCTTAGAATATGACATAAGATTGTCCTGAGTGGTTTTTAAAAATGCTTACCCGCTCTACTCAACCCCATGATTCTTAGAACTCAAAAATGCACTTAATAACACTCTACTTTAGCAAAAGGTTTCAACTCTACAGAGACATCTGTCCTTCAAGTTGACTCTACGAAGGTTAATAAAACATATGCCAGTAAGAGAACAACTTCATTATCTAATTTTTTTCAAGACAGAGATAATACATGAGATTATATTTCATCTTTCTCAGCAGTCTGTTTGAAATCTAGTAAATACCATTACACAAAGACACTGGAGGCAGGATATCTGATTGAACTCATCCAGCCATTAATGCCTCACATCAGCACAGCTACTGCCTCCAAGCACTAATATAGCAGTTGTGATCTCAACATGCTGAGGGTTACCTTCTTTAATGTACAGACTCAGCAAAAGTTCACAATTAACACAACAGTTTCAAAGCCAGGACTTAAACATTCTCTTTCCTTTTACTGCACATGCATTAGAGAATCCTTTATGGGTGCTACAGATGCTAAGTAATATTGTGTATGTATGTATGATGCTGTAGTAAAGTATGATATTAAACTAAACCCAACTCAACTCAATCCAACCTACTTTTGGTTGACTCCATACACTGAAGAAACAATTCAAACAAGTTGCTTAAGACTGCTCAAATGTATTTATTTTATTCAAGGTCCCTCTGAAGAAGTGAAAATTAATGAGGAGACAATGCCAAGAATATGCTAACTGCTCTGATCACACTGCTGCA